GTAGTAGTAGTAGTAGTAGTAGTAGTAGTAGTAGTACTTCGGGGTGATTCCTACCCCTGTGGTTGAAAGTAGAACGCTTCTCCAGGAGTATAAGTCCATATATATATATGGCATTCAGCTTTGTTTGGGTATTTTCCCACGTCATTGTAGTTGTGCTTTTAAAGTTGTAGCAACGTTTCGGCAGAATCTCATCTGCCATCATCAGGCTTCTGTATAGTGTTCTTCTGTGAGTCAGGCTTTTACAGTGGTTTCAGATTTAAATTTGGGGCAGCCTATTACTGTGCCAGAATGGTTTTTTCTTCATCCTGATTGGTTGGGAGTCTTGGTCTGTGTTTATTGGTCTTGGAGTTTGCTGCGTTCTGCTTGATTGGTGTTTCTAATATCTTCTGTCTGTTTTGTGGCTTTTACAACACACACACACACACACACACACACACACACACACACACATATATTTACGTGCCTATATCTACATGTAAAACTGTGTATATGGGAAACAGTATCTAAGGGTCCGCAACAAGTGAAACCCCTAAGTGCTCCAAGTAAGAAATATTCTGGATCCCTGGTCCCCAACAAGGGAAACCAGCTATACAGAGCCTGGATGGATCCTTTCCTGTCAAAAACGTCCCGCTGTTTGAAATGGCACTTGCGGCTTCACTTCAATGTAATGATCCAAAAGCAATTGCAAAACAAACAAAAAAAAATCCAATTTAAGGACTAGCCTGCTTATCCAATGCCAGCAAGATAAAAGAGAAATAATGCCAGGGAAGTGGAGTGGGAAGGTACCTGCCCCGGTCCCCAAGAAGGGAAACCAGAGGGGAATGTGATATTTAGGCGCGAACTTGAAGCCAGCCGTTGAAAATGGCGGGAAGGCAGAATCCCCGGTGTTAATTGCCTGAGCAGTTTAATGAGCCGCTGCTGCTGACTCTCTAAATTGTCAGATAAATGATCCTGTCAGTTGAAACGGCAAGGAGAAGTGAGCCGCGGCTGCAAGTGCTCCACCAAGATCGCAGAGATAAGACAATTGGGGGATTAGATAAGCTAATTGCCTGAAGCGGCCGTCTCAGGCTGCCTGCGGAGTGGCAGGCTCTGCCAGCTACAAGGAACAGCTCTCAAACTGATCGGGGGGATGACCTAATAGAGCCACAAGCCTTGAAATCGCCAAATTAATTGGGGAAAAATTTACAAGCCGAATTAACCCAAGAGCAAACCTGAATTTTGACTAGCTGAATCAGAAAACCGTTCCAGTCAGGGAGTGCACAACCTCTTACCACGAAGGCTGAGCTAAAACTGGGGGATGCTGGGGAGGTGTCCCGTGGAGGAGGAGGAGCGTCCCGGAGTTTTAAGCCCAGCCTTTCCAGAAGAGACTGAAGCACCTCTCACTTCTGGTTGCTCTGAACAGCTCATGAGAGAACAGATACATCCATGCCCATAAATGTATGAGGCACAATGGCATATCTGGTACTGTATATGAGAATGGGGACAATGTGACTCAGATAGATATTCCATTGGGTGAAATTGTGAATGGTGGAAAGAATATGATGGGGGGAAAAAAGCAAACATATTGATCTAGCTCATGGGTGGTACTTTGTCATGGTTTACTTAACTGCTGTTCATTGAACAGACCACAATTAGCAGTTCATACAATATGCTAAGCCCAAATCAAGGAATCCAGAAGGTGTTGCTATGACATGCGATTGCAGTCACTGTGATAGAAAAAATTTCTAGGTTCATGTAACTAATGTTTTTAAGAGAAACTGAGTACACTTTCATTTATATGAAAGAAAATATCTGACTTTCTTATGGCTACAAAATAATACAGATTCACTGTTAAAATTGTTTCAATTTTCAATAGAAATCTCAAGAAAAAATGCAATTATATGAGTTTGAACCATATACTGTATGTACTTCCTTTAATTTAGATTTAATATTCTATTTCAGCAACAAGTATTAAAATCTTTAACAGCATCTTCAAATCCTACTGGAAAAGACTTCCTTTCAAATGCATCTTTTTGCAATTCTCCATTGCCTTCCATTTTTAAAATGTAATGATTAAACACCTGTAATTACCCTTTATTCTATATGAAACATAGAGCTGTATGTAACTATAAAAATTCAATATAATAAATAATATAAATGCTAATAATAAAAAACAGATGAAACAATAAGATAGAAGATATCTAGCTACACTCACTACATGGAAGGTTGTTATACTTCAGTGCTAAGTCGCTTTTTATAATTTTGTCCCTTGGGATACTTATTAAAAAATACCTGAAAAATGTGTCCAATTACTTTATGATACTTAATTAAATGCAACCCACAATAGAATTAACAGCGTCTACCTTTTTTTCTGTTCATATAACTCAGACAAGAATAGGTAATATATTTATATTACAAAAGTACACTTTGTCTTTCCCAATTTAAATAGCTGCTTGTTTAAGATAACATTTATGTGACAAAATGTACAGTAATCACCAAATCTTAATTTGTTAATTGTCCAATTAATTAAAATAGTTTTTGAACAACATTCTTCATAAATCTTTACCACTGTCTGGGATTTATATGAATTGTAATTAAAAATCTAGAGATCAGACCATTTACCAGATTTTAGGAAACACTGTTCTGAGTGTAGCTAATTACAAAACGTTAATTTCCCAAAGGAAAAGGTGAGATTAAAAGCAAACAGAACAGAACAGAAAATTAACAATACGAATACTGTTTTTCTGTTTGTACATTTTTTTTTAAAAAAAGCAAACTCCTGAATATAAAAGATCTTGCTCCAAATTTCAAATACTTTATAGAAAGGCGATTCTAGCCTCACAATACACACCACGACCCCCAAAATTCAACCAAACTGCTAAGGAAGTACAAGGTTTGATAAAAATTGTAATCCAATCTAAAGCAGGGTGTTGAGTTGAAGGAGATGATACATTTTGAATATTATTCAAGAGTATGCCTTAGGTCAATTCTGTTGCAAAGGTTTGAATGTAGCTGAAAACCCATCCAATCTACAGCATTTTTTTTTCCCTGCTGAGTAATCCAGTCCTGGTTACTTCTGCCATTTTCAAAGTGTAATTACACTGAGAGGAAAGCAGCAAGGAAAATAAAAATCTGCTACTGCACTTCCACTGAATTTCGACAGATGGATTAGGGAAGATAATGATAAATCCAGGCATCATACAGTCAATCAAATTTTTATTACAATCAAAAGCAGCATAAGGAGGGTGGGTACCATCAATTAAAAAGCATCTAAAATATTAATCACGATATAAAGCTAAAAGATATAAAATAAGCAGTGAATATCTAAAAGGAGGAGTAGGAGCATTAGAGGGCTGCAGAGAAGCATAAACTTTAGTATGGGGTAGATAATTCTATCAAATTACAGAGCATGATGAACTAGATGCTCATTTAGTTTAGTTTTTGGCACAGGGGCATCATCTGATGGGTTTTAAGCACCACAGCACAGAATCTGGCAACTTTATATATTGTAGCAGGGTTGGTATTTGAAAGCAGAAGAAAAATGTAGAATTTTTCAATTGCAATTAATGATGAGATGAATGACTCTGTAATATAGGCACTGGAGAAGCACATGCTCTGTTGTTTCTGTGGGTCCAGAGTCATAGGGCATTCTCTCTCTCTCTCTGTCTGTCTCTCTCTCTCTCTCTCTCAGGAGTCTTCCTGTATTGCCTTCAAGGACAGCTTGGGGAGGGGGGAGGGAATGATATCATGCCAGAGTACAGAACACACAGAGTTTTAACTTTTCTTAAAAAGAAATGAGAGTTTATCAAGCCACCAGAATTACTTTTAGATTTGGCAAAGCTGTAGGAAAGTTTAGAGGATCTTTTAAGGTTAGGCTTCAGGGGCATGTCTTTCCACAATTTTTTGTTGTCACAGAATGCAAAGCCCTATCCAATTTCTGTAACCTGCCACCAAGAGAAGTGGACACAGCATCGAACTCCAGCAAATTACACCTAAATGGTCACCTAGCTGAGAGCCACATCTTTTCCATGTTATCTGTCATCTGCACCTCTATAACTGTCTGGTTTGGCTCTGCAACCAACAAGACAGACACAGACTTCAACGGATAACTAGAACTGCAGAAAAAAAACAATTGCTGCCAATCTGCCTTCCACTGAGGACCTGTATACGGCACAAGTCAAAAAGAGGGCTGTGAAAATATCAACAGACCTCTCACATCCTGGACGTAAATTGTTTCAACTTCTACCCTCAAAACAACATTATAGAGCACTGCACACCAGAACAACTAGACACAAGGATAGTTTTCCTCCTGCATGCCATCGCTCTACTAAACAACTAATTCCCACAACACTGTCAAACTATTTACTAAGATTGTATTACTATTATTCTTCTCATCCTTCCTATTATCTCCTCCTACTTATGACTATAACTTTGTTGCTTGCATCTTTATGATTTATATTGCTTTATTTAGTTTCCTAGTATGATTTTGATTGCTTATTTAGTATCCAATGACTAACACTAAGTGTTGTATCTTATGATTTTTGATGAATGTATTTTTATGTACACTGAGAGCTTATGCACCGAAGACAAATTACTTGTGTGTCCAATCACACTTTTCCAATAAAGAATTCTATTCTATTCTATTGTTACCATAGTCACAACACTATAAAGCAATCTGTGTAATAATAAAAAAGCAGATGTTAAATTTGACACCTAATATTTGGATGGTGGTAATCTTGGCAATGCTCTCTTCCTGCCAGGAATCACCGATTCTTCACTAGGGGGAAAATATCACACTATAAAAAAACTACAGTCCTGAAAACATTTCAGGCAACAGACCACGAACAGGTTCTTCCCATACAACCCTTGAACATAGTCTTTCATAAAACCTGGAGCCACCTATTGGCCATGCCTGGTAGAAACTTTGGGAAGGGCAGCCCAACAAAGCCACAGATTTCCAGATTGAGGAAGGTTGCCTTAGCATATGCAATCCCACGGGGGAAAAAAGTACACTTACTTACCATAAAGGATATATGCCAAGCCTTGTAATAATGAAAATAATAGCAAACGAAAGGAAGAGGAAATCACAGAGTTTTTGAAACTTGCAGTAATTTGCCATTTTGGCTGCCTGTAATAAGAAAAGGAAATAGGTCACTTTCTTTGTAAAGAAACTGCAGAAATTGTACCGTATAAAATATTCAAGTATGCACGGTCACTATTTGAATTTTTTTTACTGCCCTTACTACTTCTGCTTTGAGGCTTTGCAGAATATCGTGAGGGCAAAAATTGACACTGTCTGTTAACACCTCTCATCTTATTTTTTTAATGTCTCTACTGCTACATGCCACCTTTATTTCTCGATGATACTTTCCTAGTGCTTTCAGAGCTAACTGGAATCTTCAAGATACCCCCTTCCCAAAGAGGTCCACAGCCATCTAAAAATCATCTGTTTGCTTTTTCTTCTGTACTAATTCAATCACATCCTTGTTATTTGACCTCTCTACATTCAATCCCTTCTTTGAATTATATTTCAAATACTGTATACTTGGGCTTACAAAAAGTTTTGACAAAGTCACTGTAGTAGATTTAGGGATGAAGGCAGACGATGACAAGTATTTTAGTACTCCATTAAGGCCCCTATTTTCTTCTGATGAGAAGAAGCTGGGACTAGGGGGAGTTTGGGCTGTGAGAGGTAGCTAGAACTTCCTCCTGACCAATAAAATGTTGGCTGCAGGTTCTGAGAATATCAAAGATTGCAGGATCAAGTTTTCTGAGTAGGTATAATAGTATGTGGGAATGACCTTGGGAGAATGGATAAAGAGATGCTGCCTAGGAAAACGGTCAAACAAGTGACAGCATAGCTTGCAGTTGCACAGTTGGTGGAGCAAAAGGCTCAGGAAGGAGTTCTCCCCAAGTCTTTGGGCTGTACAGTTGTCTGTGGGAAAACTATAACTTCAGATTTGCAAGATTCTGTAAATGTAGCTTTACAAAAAAATAGAATTAGTTTATCTGGTCATTTCCTGTCTGGTTTAGCTGCTAAGGATGACACCAGGCTTGGATTCATATCCTCCCCTAAATGCCTGGGAGAATAAGAACCAACAGGGTAAAATTAGTCAGAAACATACCAGCAAAAACATCAGGAATGTTTTATTTCTTTTCAGTGCTACTATACTTAGGTGTGTAGTTTTAAATTTGGTCATATTTTGCTTCCGTGGTTTCTTGCCTGCATTAAAATGTGCTCATATAATTATCTAGCAGCGTGTTTTAAATGAATTTTGATAATAACACAAATTATGATAAAAATAAACTACAACAAAAACGGATTCTGAATAAGGTGCAGAAAGTCAATCTCACTGTGTTCATGAGTCTCACTTCCAAAGACAAATACAAAGGTATTTATGGTCTTACAGAAACCGTCCTTTAAAACAATGTCAATACATTATGAGCTTTCACAGGGTACAATATTTGTTCCAGGTAGAGACCATTTTGGACAGCAAAGAATTATTACAAATAACTCTCTCTTACCTCCAGCACGAAATCAACAACATCATGAAGACAACAAGCCAGGGTTCCAAGTCGTGTGAAGTTGACTACGTAAGAAATAATTAGTAATAAGACTGCCACAATATGATGTGTGAACATGATGCTAAAATCCTGGAAGATAAAGAGACAGAAAATAAAGCACCATTGCATAAACTAGTTTTAGTTTTCCATGTGTCTTTATTTTCCATCTTGATATTTTTGAAGAGTAAGGAAGTCTAATTTTTCTTTGTGTCACAATATAACATAGTCTTCATTTAGCAATTCTTGTGGTTACCTATCCCTGCCACCCCACATTGCCTGCAGTTGATCTTTGTGGCTGATGCCAACTGATGAAGCCATGCTCAGCTGAGGCAGCTGCTGCCTTTCATGAGAATTTGGGGAGGCTGCATGAGGGCCTCAGGAAGGCCAGCAGCTACCTCAGCTGGATGCACCTCATCAGCGGTGGAAGGAAAAGAAGTGCAAAGGGCAGCTGAGGCTAGCAGGGGTAGACACAGGGGTGGGATTCTACCAGTTCGGACCAGTTCTATAGAACCGGTTGTTACGATTCTGCACAGTTCGGAGAACCGGCAAATTGCACCACTGGCCTGAAAGCAGAGCTGAACCTTCCTTAGGACTGAAGCTTCTATTTTTCAGTGCAGACTCAGGCAGCAGATTGCAGAAAGGTAGATCTGGGAGTGACTCTGTGATTCTGCAAGCAACTCAATCTGCCTGCTTGCTTTGCCTCATTTTGGGTAAAAGCTGCTCTTTTTTTAAATAAAAAAACTCAACATTTACATAAATATTTACAATATTTACATACAAGCCATGCCCACCCAGTCACATGACCACCAAGCCACACCCACAAATTAGGGCATGCCCACAGGACCGGTTGTTAAGAAATCTGAATCCCACCGCTGGGTAGACAGCAGAGTGCAGGATGGCCAAAAGGGCAGAGATTGTGGGGGGAGGGAAGACACATATTGAATGTGTTTTATGTATGGGCACATGTATATAGGAATTTGGCAGCAAAAGAAAGACTATCTCCTATCTGCTAGAGCCAAAATATCTATGCATGCTCATAAATGCTTTTCAGTTTCTTCAAGGATCATGGACTTTAGCAGATGGGCGTCCACGCCAAGTATGTCCCTCTCTCCAAAAGCAAATTAAAAGGATCTGCTCTTTCCTCTCTTGACTCTTACCTTAGTGCAGATTGAGCAATTCACACAATCTCAAAGGCTGCAGTAGGACATGTAGGCATGTTTTAAGGAGTTGTAAATGGTGAGATGAGTGGCTCAAGGATTAAAGCATTCGTTTTGCCCTTTAAACTCCCCCAAACTCCCCCAAATCTACAAAGAAGCTCAACATTTTTGGCTCTTTGCTCTGGGAGATGGCTTCATGGAAGGCACAGATAGAATGGTGGAGGACCAGACAGCCTGGATTTTATTTTTATTTTTAAAATTAATACCTAGGAACATCAATATGATTTTAATGTTCTGGGAAAGACAGTGTGGGTTGGACAGGTATTGGAAAGACTCAAGTTCAAGTACACCCTTACTTCAATGGAGGAATCTGAATATAAATCTAACAAAATAAAATCAATAAGCATGTGGGGACATTCCAAGACTGCCCCCTGGTGTGTTTAACATAAAAATACACTTTATCCTCTATCGGATGCACTAGAAGAAAGAGACACATTCTTTTTATTGTTGCCATAATAGTTTAAGTTTCTACTATTCCACATTAGCAGGATTAGCACTGCCAAAGCTATCTCTCTCTAAAGGTGACTGAGTCACTCTAATTATTGCTGATTTTAATCAGGTTCCAAGAGACAGACAGTTTTCTAGGATATTTTGATAGGTTTTTTTTTCCAGAAATCTGGAAAAGAAAATTACACACATGCACACCTCTATGATACAGGGTAATTAGCAGCTACTGTAGTTTCAAAACTGGCATTAGCTACTCCAACTCTTCATAAATACCTGTGCAAAGGAACACATCTATTGTAGATTGCTCTTGGCTAGGTTATGATTTGAAGTAAATGTCAGTATTTCATCTGCTTTTGGAGGAAATACTTGATTGCTCTATAGAGGAATCTAAATGTCTTTCCCCCAAGTAAATATTTTAGTACACCAATAACTTATTAAGGTAGCCCTTTTCTAAAATCCTTTAAACAATGACTTTGAGATAGGTCTCTAAAAATAATATCTGGCAAAACAGACCTGACCTTGTCATCCTACCAAAGTGTAAAAGTTACACTGGTAAATTTGACTGATGTTCAGGTAAGATATTCTAGGATAATCATAAACTTCTTGCCAGTCCATTCTCTCTCCTTAATTCTTTCTGCAAACCATAAATGTAGCATGGTGATACATAGAAAAATGCTAATTAAACTGCCCACACATGCCTCTTAAGCTTACAACAAGCTGCACATGATGATAGCCAATAAAGATAATTCATCCCTCAGGGCTCATTATGAGCTATGCAAAAAATGGCATCTGTTCCAACAGGTTATTTTTGCAGAATGCCAATCCGATCATATGCACTGGATTTGCATATCCTGTTCATGAAACCTCAGCCAAGCAGAGGTAACCAAGTGGAATAAACGCATCAATAACTAAAAGACACTTTTGAGAATCGGAAGACGCTTTTCTGTCAAGAGTTTGCTACTGGATAAACAGCAGGGTAAGCACATCTGTAATATCAACCATTCATAACCTAGGATTATCCAGTTGTTGGATGTGTCTTGCTATGCCTCTTCTCCTCAGCTGCGAATGTGAATGAAGTCACCAACATTAATTCCAAAAGACAGGTTGTTGTTTTCTTTAAAAAAAACTCACACACAGTTGCTGTGATGATTGTTCAGTCTGTATTTGTACTTGGCAGACTGCTATGGTTTCCTAACAGATGGAGGAAAAAAACCCCCTCCATGTTCTTTCTTTCTTTTATTATTTATTTATTTGTCAAGCAATTATAAGATAACATAATTATAAGAATATTATAAGATAACATAATCTTCTTCTTTTGTGTTTCTTCCTTTATCTAATTTAGACCCCTTGCCCACCTGACAAATAAATTGACTTTATGCATTCTTGTGACAGAAAAAAGATTTTCTCTCCCATCATGTTGGCAAAGGCAGCATACAAGAAACCTGGACTTCTTATAAAGCCAAGAAGAATATGGCTGACACTTCAAGCTTCCACAGGTTAGAAGTACCAGTTATGGTAAGGAGGAATTGAACAGTTCTCCTCCCACACTTGTGATGAAACGGCCTTGAAGCATTTTCTGGCATATGAAATTCATGGAAAAGTCTTCACAACAGAAGTCCCCAGGTTGTACTCATTGCTTAAAGTTGAGGGGCATACACCAGATAGAATAGAATAACAGATTTGGAGGGGACCTTGGAGGTCTTCTAGTCCAACCCCCTGCCTAGGCAGGAAACACTATACCACTTCAGACAAATGGTTGTCCAATCTCTTCTTAAAATCTTCCAGTGTTGGAGCATTCACAACTTCTGGAAACAAGTCGTTCCACTGATTAATTGTTCTAACTGTCAGGAAATTCCTCCTTAGTTCTAGGTTGCTTCTCTCCTTGATTATTTTCCACCCATTGCTTCCTGTCCTGCCCTCAGGTGCTTTGGAGAATAGCTTGACTCCCTCTTCTTTGGGGCAGCCCCTGAGATACTGGAACACCGCTATCATGTCTCCCCTAGTCCTTTTTTTCATCAAACTAGACATACCCAATTCCTGAAACCATTCTTCATATGTTGTAGCCTCCAGTCCCTTAATCATCTTTGCTGCTCTTATCTGCACTCTTTCTAGAGTCTCAACATCTTTTTTACACGGTGGCGACCAAAACTGAATGCAGTATTCCAAGATATTCATCTGATGTACAAAGTGAAGTCATAGTGAATAGCAAAAAGTCAGAAGTCAGGAAAATCATTTGTCAAACTGAAAATCAGTAGGCCCAGTTGGGTGGAAGCAATTTTGCTGCTAACCTGACCCCGGAGAAATAAAATAGGATCACAGCTGCTTAATGCAGTAAGATCAAGGGTCCCCCTACTGCTTCTGTTCTGATTCACCGTGGAACTGGGGTGTTCTGATTTTATGTATGCACTGGTAAGTAATGCATCTGGTTGATTCCTCTTCTGTATGACATATGCGGGCAGGGAAAAAAATATCTGCCAATCATGCTGCAGTCAGTCTGTCTGCACCAGTCTGTTAGTCAACTTTAGGTCCTTTCCTGTTCCCCTCCACTTACTCACAATACTTTCATAGACAAAGCTGAATACTCTAAAAAACACAACAGACTGGAGTCATGAAAAACCTGAGTCATAAGTGTGATTTTTATTCAGGATTTATTTCCCCCTCCCCCCTGCTTTCTTTATATAGCCTTCCAGATTCCTTCATGCTCTGTGTGGGGACACTGAGATAGAACTGATCCTATCGTTTCAGAGTTCTACTAGTTCACCATTCCATTTTAACACCACTGCGGCTTTGACATTCTCTACTTTTTTCCCTTCCCACCCACATCGTTTCAATCTTTGCACAAAATCGGGACTGCAGGATTAATGTGAATTACTGTAGTCATAGGACAAGCTGAGTAGTCTACCCTGCTGTGCAATTTTGCACAATGCAATAGAATGATAGTAACCAAGGCTGATCAGGAACATGAAGGAAGCGGATCTTCCTGAATTGGGTAATACACACTGCTCAGATCCTATACCCCAATGTCCACCCCATTTTGCCTCTGACTTAAATAAGTGGTGAAACACGATTGATTTTATACTCCTCCCATCTACTGCTGGATACTATTGGCTTAAGGGCTGGTGAAGAAAGATAGATGAGAATGATTTAAGTCTATCTCCTCAACTATGACCCCTTTATGACCTGTGGGCTTTAACTCCCAAAATTCCTGACCCACCATATATTGGTCCATTCAGAGTTCTGGGAGTTGAAGTCCACGGGTTGTAAAAGGGTCGTAGTTGCCCATCCCTGGACTAGAATAAGCAACAACCAAAGGATGAAGTGGGGGGAAATTGTTATGGCATGTTTCTTCCATGGTTGTCTATAGGGAAGATTTGTAATATCTTATCCTCTGCTTGTCACTTGGTTGAGTTGGGCAGCTATAGAAAGAGAATGAATGAATTAAGAAATAAACAAAAGGCACACTTCCTAGCTCCCATCAAATGATAATACTTAGGAGAAGGAAGCAGAGCGTGCCCACTCTATCTGACCTGGTAGGATAGGTAGATGTCCCCAGGGACATCTGCCCTTGGCCCTTGTGTCATACAGAGCTTTAAAAGATGATGACCAGCAGCTTGTACTTCACTCAAAGTATGTCCATCATAGTGCAATTTCTTGCTGTTTCAAAATCATAAAATATTCCGTGAAATAATTGGAGAAAGCTGTGACACTCCCAAAAAGCTGTGACCTGAGAAGGCTTTGCAGCAACATCAGGCTCCGCAGCATATCTTTTGTTTCCAATGCTATTCTCAGGCAATACTAGGCAGCTGAAAGTGAATACCCATTTTTATTCCCACTAGGATAATTTTAAATCCTACTTCCAAGATCAAACATGCTGGAACATGTTTAAGATTTTTTTTCCCCCTCTAGGAACAATCTGCTTTCTGATAAAAAAGCAACAGTAGTAACAAAAACATTAGGTTACCAATTATACAAGGATGTTTTTTGTGTCGTGGAAATGAAAACCACCCAGAGTAGCCCTAAAGCGAGATGGGCAGCAAATAAATCTAACAAACAAATAAATCCAACTGCTAAGCAACCAATATGTTTTCACACAACCTTTCCCAACCTGGGGTTTAAAAGTCAACTATGATCATTTCTACCAGCATGCTCAAGTTCAGTATTGGAAGAATATCATATTGGGTTATGTTACTATAAATTATTTCTTAGTACATATCCCCCCCGCCCTTAGGTGTCCTCTAAATCAGGGGTCCTCCACCCCCAGGGCACTACCAGGCAATGACCTATGTGGAACGGGGCCTTATGAGCTACAGGCCAGCACATACGGGCAGTTCGACTCACACGAACGGTGGCCTGGCACGCATGCACGCGCAACTCAACTTGCAATTGAGCTGAGTATGTGTGCGTGCTAGCCTGCCGCTGATGCGAGTCAAACTGCGCATGAGTGCACGCCAGCCAGCCCCTCACATGTCCTGGTTCCCCTCTTCCTTCCCCCACTGCGTTGCCAAGGCACAACGGTTGGGGACCGCTGCTCTAGATGAGTTAATTTCAATTCCCAAAATTCTCTGCAACAGTTTTACTGACGATGGAATTCTGGGTGCTGAAATCTGTACATTGGAATATTTAATGACACATAAAAAATAAATATTTTCTAGAATACTTTAATATAATCTTAATAAAATGGTATCATACTAATGAACCAGTGATCAATATTGCTATCAGCTCCCAAAAGATATTAAAAGTACCTCAGCCTAGTCCAATAATGCTAGCAGGTTATGCAACCTGACTTTATATATTGTTTTCTGAAAATATAATAACCATTCACAGCTGCAGTCTTAACACCAAATTTATATTGCCCTGGACAATTAGAATTAAGATGCTGCTAATAGGGCAGTGCAAAGCATTCATAAAAGTGTTTTGGAAAGCATATTAGTACAGATGAAGTACTTCTTTTTATACTCTATGTGCATGCAGACAATGTTTTTATTGGGATTATCCACAAAATTAAGCAACTATGCATATACACAGAGGCTGACAGAGTTGAAAATGTTTAACTCTGTTATATTTCTGCCTATATACCACTTTTTATGTTTTTATTTTAAACCACCCAGAGTCACTTAGGTGAGAAGGGCTGTGTAGAAATGTGATGAATAAAAAAATAAGGTGCATAAGTCTTGCAAAAGACATGGCTGGATTAATGCTTTGAAGGGCAATACTGTACTTAGTGGTTCAAATGCTTTGCACAGTCCTTGGTCACTATTTAATGCATATGTGTCAGTCAAAGAGATGTTACACAGCTCTATCACATAGCATTGTTCTTACCTTTCTTTTGATGTCAATGAACTGAGAAAACATTAGAGACCAATAGAATGCCAGTTCAAGTATATAGTAGTAATGAATCTCAGGCATCAATGGCTGGAGAGTAAAAATAAAAACAAAATATTAAAACCCAGCAAGGTAAATTCAATAACTTTGTGAACAAATCCTTATCAAAAATAGATTTCTGCATAACAATTTTGGAGATTTGGTGGGTTTAAACAATATTTTGAACAATACCTTTTCTTTATTTTTTTTCAACCCAATGAAATATTGGAAAGAAATTATGTGAAGGGCTGAAAACTCTCTCTGTCCATCAGCAGATTAACTCTCCAAAAACAAATGAAAAGAGCTCAAATTTGGTGTGATGGGAGAAGCTGACAAATAAAATCAAGTTGGAAAATTGTCTGGTTCCATCATTCCAGAAAAAAATATATCCCACAATGCATACTACTTATGAGAAAGGCAGCTGATCCATCTCATAGCTGTTGTTGTGGGGGAAATAGAGGAAGGAGTATTAGGTAAGTTTGCCACTTTGAGTTATTGGTAAAAAATAATAACGGCATGATACAAATAAATAAAATACAAGGGCAGTAAAACTATATATAGACACACGTTAACTTCAGGTAAAGAAAACAGAACTGTTTCTTATGACTGCTGCTGATAAAAGGGTTCAAAAAAAAAATTCAAGAATGCTTGCTTTTTTCAATGTCCAGATCTGTGTTTTTCAAACTTAGCAACTTTTAAGATGTGTGGAATTTTGGGAGCTGAAGTCCACACATCTTAAAGTTCTCAAGTTTGAAAAACACTGATCTAGACTAAATGAACGAACTGCAAGGTTGTATTTGAAGATGGCAGCTACGGCCATTTCAAAGGATGGCTGTACATTTTCAACATTTTACATTCATGTTATGCAACACTGGTTGTTGTTATTTTACCTGGTATGGGTAACCAATCCAGCACTGCTTTGTGTTCCACAGCCAGGGACTCTTAAAAAAAGTAAATAAATAAATGAGAGAGAAAGAGGGAAAAAAAGATTAAAATGCATGCAGAGCAATGCAACCGCATCTTTTGGATATTTGAAACACATTCATTTGGCCCTGCCAGAAGGAATAAAGCTGGGTGACTTTGGGCCAATCACATTCTCTGAACCCAACTGCTTTCACCAAGTTCTTGTTGTCGGGATCATAGGAAGAAGAAGGAGTGTTGGATATGTTCTTCACTTTGAGTTATTTGTAAAAAATAAATAAATAAAGGTGAGATACAAACAACAAACAAACGTACATTTGTCTGTGGCTTAACTTGTCATATGAACTCAACCATTATGCTTTGCAAATTAAAGTTTATGGCTTAAGATGTTGTAGGATTCTAGCTAGCTATGGTTTATTCAGCAAACCATGGTTATTTGAAACAGGACTTAGCACAATTAAGTAATTCAGTATTACTAATATCATATCTCAAATACTAATTATTTTCACTTTCAATGTTTTACTTATGTGTCTGAGGTACTTACTTTATACTCTAGAGTCTAGACCTCATTATAAATGACATTCTGCTACACTCAATAATGCCGTGTTCCATTAGTCCATAACTTTCTTTCCTACAAGGTCTCAAAAATAAAAAGGGGCACTAATGGTTGATCCTTGATTTTTGTCCAAATGTTTGAACTTAATTAAGCAGTCTGGCTATGGATCCATTTAGGAAATGAAGCTAACAGTTATTGGCAATCCTAAATACTTTTTAAAATAAGTCATTTAAATCTTAAGCATGTATATATTATCTTGTATAAGGAGAACTTCATATTCTGCATTTCTTATGAACTGTGTCACAATCAGCTACACAAGTGGGTGACATAGAATTAATAATCAAACCACAACCTAGCAATATGTAATACTAGAAATATTTAATAATAATACACAGCTCAATTAATTTTTGTTATATTCTATGGACACTATACCTACCTACATTTATAATGAGAGAAAGATAAATTTATTTTTCTTAAGCTATAAATGATCCAGTATGAAAAAAGTTGAAATCTGAAATTTGAAGTAAACTTGAACATTTTATTGACTAAATTATCTTAATTGTTAGGATTGCAAAATATTCATAGTACTTATTATGGGCTAAATATTGATCTGGGCTGCAGGTATGATTATCAGGCAACAAATAAGCAACCATACAATGCAATGAATAAAAAAGGGGGAAAGCTAAAGTAATACGTACTTTTAATGATTTTTTAACAAGGCAATCAAAATTGAAATATATCCCAATAAACAGCTATTTTGGAGCCTGCCATACTTTCTTGGTGATTTCAAATTTTTAAATCTGAACAAGAAGAAAAATCCTCAAAACTGTAACATAATGTTCTCACTGGCTCAACAATCAACCTCTGACTACTTTTGCTTAGTTAAAACCTTGCAGCCAGTCACAAAAGAAGCTGGTACAAAACTAACTGATAATTCTACTTTCATGTAGCTCCTGGCCCAGTTTCCAAACATCATCACCTCATATTTCTGGCAAGAGCAATCTGTCTTTTCCTCTAACTTGAAATAAAGTGGATATCATAAACATAAAGAAGAGGGGATCACAAATAATGGGCACCACCACCAACTACTAGTGCAATAATATTATTTCCATTTATTCATTATAGGAATGAAATGATGGCAGCAGTGATATATGCAGAAAAGAAACAGTTTGTGATATTTACTAATCCTTGAGCAGAAGACAGCATAAATAATAATAAAAAAATTCTTGGACTAGTAAATAATAAGGAATTTTGTTAGGATGATTAAGTTCTGATTCTGATACTGAGTTTGGAATTCACCTGTTCTTCCTCTACAAATGTTATTTGTTAGCTTCTTCTATAAGTCGATTTATCCATTTACCTTAACCAAAAGATGTTTTAGAAGGTCTTCCCTGATACCTAAACTTCTAAATAAATATTTTTAAACTACTCAAGGCCCAGGCAGATGGCCAGGTTGAAGTCCTATCCATCAGCAAAGAAGTACAGATAGTCCTCAACGTATAACCTTTAGAAATTACAATGGTGCTGTACTTCTGCAGGGCCCGCATGATCATGTGATGAAAAATTGGGCACTTACAAGTGACTGTTGCACCTGCCCCATCTGTCCCCTCCACCCTTTCCGGCTGGGTCCCAGAGGATTCATGTCATCTCAGAGCCTCCTCTGCATCCCATTATGCCTTGTTCCACTTACCTTTTCCAAATATTGCCTTTCTGAAAGAGTTCCTAACCAATGCGACATGTGGCCTTCTTGCAGAGGCTATCTTGCACCATTCTGAACTTGGCTGCAATTCTTTGCGATCTCTCGGAAGGGCATGGTTTTTCCAAAATATGAGATTTGGGGGAAAACTTTCTGAAGGATTGAAAAAATGGTGCCCGCTTCCAGAATGGTGGGAGGTGGCCTTGATAGGAAGGTCGCAGGTCGTATCAGCTGGGCACTCTAGGAAAGGGGAGCTTCAGAAATCGCCATTCTGAATGAGCATCCTGCTCATGTGACATGTGGCCTTTTTAACAAGGATGATTTGCATCATTCCAGAAGGAAGCACCATTTGCCCAATTTCTCTGAAGAGTGTTTTGGAAAATACTTCTGATACCTTTCAGTCAGGTTATGGTAACAAAATGGCATTGGTCGCACTTTTAGGTGACCACTGGCAGGAGCAGGATAGGGGTAGTTCATCCATTCTTACTATTCTTGACTGTTCAGCTTCCCTCAACCAGTATGGTTATCAGTATGCTTCTGGTTCAATGCAAGAAGTGAGTAATGACCTATAGAGTCCCATGGCATGGGGCTGAGACCACCTCTTCCCAGTTATGTCTACCTGCAGGGGTGGGATTCAAATTTTTTAACAACCGGTTCTGTGAGCGTGGCTTAGGTGGTGGGCGTGGCTTGGTGTCATGTGACTGGGTGGGCATGGCTTGGTGGTCATGTTACTGGCTGGGCATGGCCAATTCAACATCACTCACATCGAGGCATGCATCTCCTCGCCTGGCCTCTCATGACTGTGGGGAGGCTGCAATAGTCCTAAGTGTGAAAAATGGTCATAAGTCACTTTTTTCAGTGCCATTGTAACTTTGAATGGTCACTCCACACAAGCAAAGTACCAGCAAAGGAGGGGAAAAAAACTCCAGAGAAGTTCCTGAGACAGGAAGTCTAGCCCTGCCAAGAATGTAATAAGGGTTAACGGAGAGGCAGTTTCTGTAAGCAACACCAGAATGTTTCCTTCCTGCCTTCCTTACAGGATTAGGCCAGTAATTTCTTCTAACAACTGGTTCTCCAAACTATTCAGAATGTTAACAACTGGTTCTAGCGAATAGGTGTGAACCTGTAGAATCCCACCCCTGTCTACCTGTCCCATCAGCTCTAGCAGGAGGAAAGGCATGCTAAAACTCCTTTCTACTAGAGAGCATCATCTGACAGGGCCCAGGAAATAAAGCCTTTTCTACTGTAGTGTCTGCTTTTGAAACATCATCCCCACCCCCACCCACTCCCAGCGCTTAGACTGACCTGAATCCTACTGGTTTTTCAGAAAACCTTAAGGTATGATTTTGTTACTTGGAGATCCAGATGTGTGTTAGAGGCTATATACTCTGTTAAATGTCTGGTGCTTTTTTGTACTTTGCCGTCTCTAACTTGCATAGTTTTTATATTGCTGCTTGTTTTTTAATTGTTGGTAACTACCCAGAGATGTGCCTTTGAGATCATACTTATCATACTTCTGCTTTAAACTTCTCTCTCACGGGAGACGTTCTAGCCCTCTAATTTCCACCTTTATTCCACCTAATTTACTCCTCCTCATCATAAGAATCCAGCAGGCCCTGACAGTTTGTTCCTTCTATTGGAATATTTTTATTAATAGCAATAGCATTTAGACTTCTGCTTGATCTTTATTATTTTTAACAATAGGAGAACCAATAAAGATTTTTCCTTCCTTCTTAACTTTTCCTGCTTAAGATATATAACATTAAGCCTAAATGTTGCTAATTCTTCTCTTTTCTTCTACATGTTTATAATCCTCAAAAAGATTATTAACATTTTAGGCTATTAGTGTTAAAACATCTGTAGTTCAGAATCATGGAATAAATTATATCACACTGGTGATATTACTGAAGGGCCAGGTTCTATCTGTTTTTTGTTTCTTGGCCATTGCCCTTAAATGAGCAAAGAACTGACAATTTGTCACAAAGCATCATTTTAAAGCAATTTAGTATTCAGATAGATTTGATGCTGACTCCAATGCTTTTCACTTGTGAAAAAAAAAATTTCATTTTCTGAAAAGCCCATTTTGAAATTTTGTTGGGTGGGGGGGAGTTTAGGAACATTATCATACAGAGAAAGGAGAATCTGGATGTAAACAATTAATAGTCTTATTTGAAAGCAATGTATTATTTCAAAGTGTATAGAAAGCATCTTTGTTCTTAATCCCACATGAAAGCCCTTCCCTACAAATAGTGCATCTAGAAGGCCAATAAAGAATATATCCCACAGAATCATGTCTTTTTTTGTGTGAGAAGACTACACGCACAGTTCCTCATTTCACAAGCTCTCAAGAAAGTGTAATGGAATGGAATGAGGAGGTTAACCCCAGGACTGAGGTGGTACATTCCAGAGGAATAAGAGGAAAGTTGGTCCAGATGTTATGTGGGAGGATAAAAGGGTGAAGATCTCTCCCTAACAGTTCACATAATATATTATACCTGTAGATAACAGAAAGTGGGGAAAAATTATTTATAGGTGTAAAATAATAAAGAACTCGGCCTGGAAGAACTGCCATGTGTCATTCTGGGTTTTGGGCCTGACAGAAAGATCCTCTTGAATCAAGTTCAATAGGTGAAGCACAACAAAGGACCTCCAGGAATAATAATTTCTCTGTTTCCTGTTTGCCAAAAATCACAACAACCACAGAAGAAAGCAGGAGACCCATCAGCTTTATTCTAATATATGCCTCAAGAACCAATCATTGGCTCTCT